GTTCCTTTGATATCTTTCGCCTCTCTTTTAATAGAAAATATAGAAATGTTTCATGAAGTTTATTCAAAGTGGACAGATGAATTACAATCTTGCTTGATAAGTTGATTATTGGTAACTGAGTAATTGGTCGATTGATTGATTAATCGGTGTGTGATGTTTATTGCCCCAGCAGGTCAAGTTAATGCCAGGTTAAGTTAATGCAAAATCTGGTAATAAGTAAGTGTGAAGATAATTACTTTGATTTATTCTGAAAGGTATATGGTCAGATAATTTTACTTACATTGAAGCGGAAGGATATGAAATTAGAGCCTTACAAGGGGTTACGTATAAAATTCAAATTTGAAAAACAGCTGTTTAACAGCAGTTTTTTTTTTAAATACTTATAGTAATAATTTTCGTGTTCTGTTGACTTCCAGCTTACTCTTTCCTTTTCTTTATAATCATGAAAAGTTGCATAAAGGAGTTTACATTAGAAGGTTATATAACTTTCATGGTTGCGCTTATAAGTACTTCTAAAACATAGACCCTCTTCAATCGTTCCCCATTTTTAATTGGTTCACTTCAAAATCAAAATTATAAAAACCGACCTTCAATCTTCTTATAAAGAAACTAAGGTTTCAACTCCCTCAGACAAAGTTGACCATAGATTCCTGATGAAGGTAAATACAGAAAAGCGCTTCAGACGCATGCAATTTATATAGTGTTGTTTCATTTTTCATTATAAAAAGTTAAAACCATGGTGACTGTATTATTTGTTTTACATATCTTTTAAACATCTAATAAATGAATGAATCCATATTAAGATTAAGCTTTTCAATTGAAGTACAATTTGATTTCATACTAATTCCCAGAATGCAACCGTGGAGGTAATAATAAACTATCTATCTAATATATGGGATTTAGTCGGATTCCTTGGTGAAAATATATGGACTGATAAGAATTGTTTTTTAAACTCAATATTTGATTTAATAGTGCTAACGTTTGATGAAAAGAATCATCCTGAAATATGTAATATTTTTAAAACATGCAATCCCTTTTTTTGCAAACTTGCGTTGTGCTTTTGAACTTAATTAAGATTCAAATATTTCCACAAATATCTTTCTCTTCCTTAGTTTGTAAAGCTTGTTTAACAGGGTATACGTTACAAGAAAATTCACAATATTCATTAAAAAAAAACGTTAATGTAAGTCTTCAGCAACAAGGAAAACTGTACAGCATGCACAAGTAAACAGCAAAAGTAGACAACAATGGCGCCATTTTAAAAATATAAAATAAAATAGATAATAAATTCAAAACGCTATATGCTTTAAACCCTTAAATATATACATTATAATAAGAATCCATCTTGTCTTCTTTTCGCTGTAACCTATGATTTGACAACAAAGAAGAATTGTTCATCTTCTGCATTAAACATATTTTGTCACGACTGAAGGTATTACATATAAAGAATAAAAGTTGAGGGGTAGACGCCACAGAACAGCAACCACATGAAGAAGTCAACATACGGTTTCCAACAATAGACAAATGTCCAAACAGCATGTCAAGCTCTAAATCGGCCTAGTCTTGGGCAGTTACAAAATGATTTAACAGAGGCAGATTACAAAATATCTGACACCAATACCAAAATCACTTGTCCCCCGAAATGAAGAAAAAAAACAGATAAAAACGACCTTGATGACGTATTCGGTTTGATATTCTTATTTTCTTTTAAATGGAGAATGCGCAATATATTTTGTAATATTCTATAAATAAATATTTCTATAAGATTCCATAAAATCTAAGAATTTTTCAATTTCCTTCTAAAATGAACATATTTTCTTTAAAATCTTATTTTGTATGTATTTTATATATATAGTATAAAGTTTCTTTTACCTAAATAGCCATGGACAGGTCGAAACATTCGCCCAACAGATAGAGTATTTTAATTTTAGGCCACAAATAAAATATATTTATGGTTTATTTACAATGGTATTATTTTATAAAGGAAGGTTAGCTCTGTGAGCAAAAAAAATATTTTTATGAGTTTAAACGTTGATGTTTGATAGTAAAGGATTTAACTAAAGACAAACTATTATGAGCTTTATCATTATCAGAAATTCTGGATTTTACGGTTCCAGTTATTTTTAAGATCTCCATTTGCTCTCACGTTTGGGGTCTCAAAATTTACATCGGACAACCGACTTTCGTGTTTCTCTTGCATCTAGCATCGTGTGGTTTCTGTTGGGTCTTTTCATATTGTTTAAGATCGCACGGTTATCTTTACATGTATGAATGAAAGGGGATGTGGATGTATGTCAAAGTAACAGCAACCAGATGACACAAATACAAATATCCCAAGACATCGAGAATATTTATTCATTTCTTCATCGTTTGATCTTTAAATGGTTAGTCGTCTCCTTGCTCACATATTGTGTACATTATCATAAAATTTTAACACACGTTTTTAAAATTGATTTTCTAGAGTTTGACTAAAGGCTGATTTATAACAATAAAATGTTTTGTTCCCAAAAGAAATGAAAACAAGTAGATATCAGTAAAGTGCTCAATTTCAGGAACCAATACAAAACAAAACCAAATCCCAAATACTTTGAAGGTATCACGAAGCAGCTATTAAATAATACAAATACGTTTATTAAGATCTGACATTAATATTATTGTGTTTGATGATAGTTTGTATTTTTATGAATGAGTTTGATCCGCCATCAAATACTGTCAGGAATAATGATAATTTAATAGTTTGGTTGTGGATCTTTGAGATTTGAACAGCACTACCTATTAAACAGTTGATTATTTTCCCATTTTGTTGGACAGCCATAATACGTCACGGATTATCACGTTTGTATAACCCTATTCAAACTTTCAACAATATTTTCTTTGTGGTTTTTTCAAGTTCAAAAATTATTTGAATGACATTTTGTATTTCTTGTCAATGGCCATAATGACTTGTAAAAGGGTGAACAAGATCTGAATGATTTTTTGTGTTATAATAATTTTAAATCTTGATTTTTTTTTACATATATTCACATCAAAATGATATTACAAACATTAGACAGCTTTATGCTGCATTTTGAAGGGGAAAATAACCTTTTTTGTATAACTTTTTTCCTATAGATAGCCTTTATGAAGTCATATCGATCTAAATATTCAATTAATAGAAAAAAATAGTGATAATTACACTGTACTTTTTTTCCTTCTTTGAATGTTTTAGTATAAACATTAAAGTCATTTTTTTTTTAATATAAGAAACCTCAACGATTATTTTTTTCTATTCATGTTATGAAATTTGCTAGAAGATCGCTTTTGATAAAAGATATTTGACTGTGAGCATGTAATGGAAATTAAACATTTTAATCTCAAAAATATGCAGTTGAACTTTTACATCACAAAATGAATAAATCCATAGTTATCCGTCTAGACGGAACATCTGAAACTTCGGGGATTTGTTTTGTAACTTTTTGTCAGTCTGAAATATATTTGCGATATATTTACTAAAAAATTAAAACAAAAAATAGTGTGGCTTTAACAACGATCAGGTACAATGTTCTCATTTGAAAGGGTCAAATATTTTACCTTTAACTCTGTCATTATAATTTAATACAGGCGTTAATTGTTTTTAATTTTAACTTTTCGTGTGATTTTATCTTTATTTTGATCAGGCAATTCGCCAAAAAAAAAAATTGATGTTCAAATGTTATAACTGGTAAAATTGTAATCCAGGGGAAACAACTCGTGAGTGAAAAGCTGAATATTTTTTGTCGTTATCAGATGTAGTTGTTTTGTTTTATGAGTACTACAGAAAAACAAAGAATCATCTTCGTCATTTTAATAAATAAAAATTCACATGAGACTTCATCGAATATATTTAGTACAATATCTCATTAGCTATGTTATTTACAAGTGACAGTGACTGTACAAGAACTCCTTTAATTGTATTCACAATTTGTGTCTTAAAATGAATTTTGCAATGTATCTCATTTTTATATGTTTTTGTTACTCCCTGTGAAGTTCTCGGTTAACAGGCAGTACATGATTTGACAATGAAGTGTCGTTTGTAATTTCTGTCATTAAAATGTCTTTATTATTAAATTTGAATTTTAAAATTTGTTGAAATGAGGATACAACACTTAAGTTAATCATTCTCGCCATTTTCAACAATTAATTGCTATTTTTGTTACATGCGGGTACAATTTCTATTAAATATTCATAGTGATCATTTATTTCATTGCCCTGAAACATTGCTCAATTTACAAAATGATTTAGGAGGGAATTTCTACACTCAGTAATTTTTTATTTACATTTTCACCTCCTTTATATATAACGAATAAATTTCAAAGAATATATTCACCTAATTTGTTTCATTGTTTATTTTTTACTCTTGTAAAAGTAGGAAAGTAGCAAGAAACAATTTTATCTTGTAAATGGAGAACAAATTTCTGAAAACTATAAAAACCGACAGTGTGCGTTGATTTAATGTCGGTATTGCATTTTTATTGCCGAGTATCTGAGGGTTTCTGAGGGCAAAAGAAATAAAATGAAAATGTTATGGCAAAAGAAAATGCTTGTGCTTATAGAACAAGTTCTAAATGTCAAGCAGAAATGAATTTGATATCTGAAACCTAGCGTTACTTAGTAATAAATTTCGTAATAAAATAGGGAAAATTTTCGATATCAAATACTAGCAATAAATTTAAGGACGTAAACATATCGTAAAAATAAATACATGTTTATCCTTAAATCACTATGCACTAGAAAAATTTATTTAAAAAATGCCGCAAGATAGAAATTGATGTTCTGTGGTTAAGAAATCTTTATTATTATTTTCCGGACAATAATAAATAATGAATTTTGACATTTGTATTAATATGTTTCCATCTCAATTTGTAATAACTATATTGAACGAACAATCTCCCAGATGAGGGGTCATATATCCATTTTTACTGCCCAATCATTAGTTTTATGTGTATTTTATTTGTAAAATGAAATAAAACAAGGCTACTAACCTACAATTGACATCCACGGATAGAACGGCGGTGGTGGCTCGCCGTCCTCATTTCCAGATGGGGTCCCTGGTGTCAACGGACTAATTGGATCTTTACTGGTTCCATTATTTATATTATTACTTGTAGGGATATTTTCCGGACAAGTTTCCCTATAACGTAAATTCCCAGAAACACTCATATTAGGGTAAAACGATGGACGTCCCGCGTGCATACCCATTCTTTGGCTGAGATCATGAGTCCGTTGTAGAGCCTCCATACGACATGCTTCGGCCTGGTTATATCCCATGTAGTACCGTTGGGACCTATAGTCAGCCCCTGTTGGACAAATATCGGGGATGTTCAAAAAATGATCCATGTATGATGAATTTTCTGTTGTACCATGTAGATCATCACCTCTTGTCGACGCCGTATGTCGTAAGGGCAAATACGAGCTCATTCCAAAATGTTTGTAAGTGTGAGAGCCGTTCACAGAGTTTTGTTGTGAGGACACCATCTACGAAAATATTATTTCAGTTCCAGAAATTTGTTTGAGATGTCTCAGGGACCCTGTAGCCCTTTCAACAGATAACTGACACATTTAATACTCAACCAATCACATTTCAACGGTTTTGACCTTTGATGACCCTAATTCTTCACAGCTTCGAGTCTGGATTTCCTCCGCTGCGTAAAGCAGTTCCTCGGTTTTCGTTGCATAGATGAATTGAACAACCCGCCTGTTTATATTTTTAAATTATGTTGATTATATAAACAAATAGCTTAGTGAAACTTATTCTAAATTAATTCAACGGAGCGTTGTAAATATTTGGGTAAGTGAGAAAGAAGGTGTTCACTATCACTGTAATTTGTTTAAAAAGTCTAATAACAAGATCAAAGGCACTTATCTCTACATATCCCATTATTTAGAAATTTTTCAAAAATTCTGTCAAAGATATTTTTCAATCTGTTTTTCTGTAAATACATGGATTAAGTCAAAGAGATCTTTCTTTGCACTGAGTAAATTTATATAAGTGATAAATAGATACAAGCTAAGGCCTTGTCTGACGGAATTGAAATATGATTGGGTTCTGTTACCGTCCTAATTACAAAAGAATAATGGTGTGTTTATGGCTTCTTTATTTTAATCTTTGTTCAGGTGGCGAAGAGAGAAATGAACCAAATATACAAACCTTTTTGATAAAGAAATCTGGTTAATTTAGGATTTTATCGGCGTTTGTCATGACGAATAAACAAAACAACTATAAAAAAAATATTCAGCCGAGATAAATAAAATACTAATAAAAAATTGTATATTTTTATTCTTCTTAATTTTGTAAGGTACAGATTTTTTTCTGTAATGGGAGAATTTTATTGAAAATAATTTATATTTATTTAAATTAATATTTTTCTCTTGATTATTTTTTTCAGATAACAACATTAATGTGTTAGAACAAGAACAGAACATGCGAAATAATGGGAAATGTATTAATTAATTGAAATATTTGCATAAACAATATCAGAAACCCTCTTATGTTAATTTAATTCCACATAACCCTTGGAGTTATTTTCCATATTTTTCTAATATAACACGTGTTAATTTAGTAACGGGACCTAGTAAATATATCAAAATAAAATGAAACAGATCAAATTAATATAAATGTCTTTTGTGGAAGACCACACAATCTAGAACACACATTATACCATTGACGAAACAAATTTAGCGAAAAAAATAAATGTGTTTCTTAATGTGAAAAGAAAACATATTAATTTCGTATGATATTAACAGATTGATTTAGGAAACGATTACCCAGCGACTACAACCAATCCTGTACGGTTTTCTTCACAGAAATTGCTTATGTATAAACATTGAAATTGGAGGAACCTGTGGGTATTGTGTACTCAACTGGGACACCATTCTAAAATGTCGCAAATGACTTCGTCGACAATTACTTTGTCACAAAGATGCTACAACCCTATTATTACAGAACAAACTATGTTTTAGAAGGTTGACAAGCCTCGAAAATTTAAAACCTCACTCCTTTTGACATCCAAACCAGTTTGAAAATATCTTTTCACTAGGTTGAAAGTCTATATGAATTTCTTGTCTATAATTAAGACATGGATAAGTTCATATATAGTTTTCTTTTCATTTAAGAGACAGTAATTTAATGCAACACCTGGTATTTTATATTAGAAATAAATCTTAGCAGATAATATGTACAATTAGAGGGTTCAATAGGTTTTTGATTTAGTTTTGTCCGGAGTCTGTCATGTCCTTACATAGGCCGTTTCCTCTACGAATTATTTGATGTATAATTTTATCTATTGGTCAAAGGGTCGAAGAGATATTTGTTTAATATTATTCTATAATTAATGCCTTGCTGGACAGGATATGAGGGACATTTATCTAGGACTAATAGTTGAGGATTGAGTAACCAAATCCATTCAGTGAAAAATTAATTGTTCTTAATTGTAAGGCACGCTTCATTGACAGACTAGACTATTCTCTCAAAGGCCACTTTCAACAAAAGAAAATAATTTCTTTTACATTTTCAATGGGTTTGTCGTAGAACAGTTTTGTCTAAAATAGCACCACAACTTCTTGGTGACAGATAGTTTCAGTTTCTCCAGAAAAGTATTAGGCTATAGTTTGTATATCTATGTTTTCCGCGAAAAAAATTAAACCCCTGTCTATGTTTGCATGTTTGATAAAGTTGAGTTAAAATAACATTTACTGTTAAAACTGATCAATGAGCCTATCTGAGAGTATTTAACAAAACTTGTACCCCTCTCCATAAGTTAATGAAGAAAGAACAATGTTAATATAGTGTACACACAGTTTCGATATATTATACATTAAAATAGTTTCGAATAGTTGATAGATTTATAGTAATTAAAAAAAACAAACAAACAAAAAGATTTCAAGACATAGACCACACCTCAAACACAAAGAAAAGGAGAGAAACTCATTTATAATAAATCAAAACAATGGATAACTTCTGTTGCGCCATAAATAAGCTTTCTTCTAATTGAGGAGAAATGAGAATTTTGATACGCAACAAAAAACTAATTTCACAGCAAATGTACATTTTAAACCAAACAAAATGAAAAAGATCATTCGTTTATCCAAAATTAATGATAAAAATATGGCTTCTTGAGTGAAATCAGTTTGTGAGATTGTTCCAAGTTTTACTGTCATTGTTTGAGTTACAGCCCTGCACGTGGTGGAACAAAATGGAGAATTTAATGGTAGAAAGATTAAGCCTAATACCTTCTTTAATAAAGATCACAATTGGTTGTGAAGACTTCAGCTTTACGAAGACAATAAACCAAGTCTGATTTATTCATCTTGATACACATAAATACTCATAAAATTGACTTGAAATTATGCATCTCGGTGGAAAAAGCCATATTTTCTTCTTATTTTGCTAGCAATGTGAAACGCCTCAAGCTTGTTCAAATGACTATGCCAAGTTTTTTATGCTTTTTGGTACAAAACAGCAAATAACAAGAAAGGCTATAAACCAAGTATATGTATAACAATAAAACATCCCTGCGTGGTCATATCCCCCTAAAGAAAGTCGTAATTTTGTAAAATTAAAGTGGTTTAGTATCAAGATTCGTTTGTTGTTTCGTTTTAAGAGCTTAGAATTAAAAGGAAGGTTATATTTCCATAATTATGTGAGCCGACTAGAAAGTTTATGTCTTTACGACAAAAACGGGTCAGGATACAAGAATGAAAGAGTAATAAAACTTTGTCTGCGGTAGATATAAGAAGAAAACGAACGCACCTGCCCTCAGAATGATTTTATACTGTGTAGAGTGAAAATCCCTCTTCATTTTTATTTTGTCTTCTAATCCAAGGAATATTTGTTTGTGTCTGTGTTTTTGTGTACTTAGAAATTACTTATACCTTCCCTCTTGTGGTGGTCCGGAAGATTGAAATGGATTTAAATATGGCGGCTTGTTGTTTTCAAAATCATTTTCATATTTTGTTTTACCTGTTTCATTGTGCTAAGAAAATATCTCTTCTTGATTCTCGTTAGGATGTGTGGAAAAAAGTATTATCCGGTCGGATTTATAAGTGTTCATGCTATTTTTCTGGAGTTTTAAGGAGGATTGAAAGAAAACAGGATTTTTTAATGATAAATTTAAAACAGGAGGTATATACAATAATTGTTGAATGAATGCATGTATATAACTATTTGATGATCTTGGTTGACAGGAACCTACGCATATGTTAAAAACTAATATATTTTAACACACCTTTACTTCTTTTTTGTCTTCTTTCACAAGTAAATCAGTCAGTTCTAAAAGGTAAATAGATGAAAAATAAATATTTATGTGTATATTTTTGATGTTGGCTTTATATATATATATAACATTAAGAATATTTATTTGATGTCGTTCATAAGAATTTTTATTATGTTGAAGAAGTTTACAAGTAAATTAGTTTTTCTTTCCACAAATGCCTGTTGTATATTATTTTTGAATAATGTTTGAACTATGTTTATAGAATATTTTCAATCAACTACTTCACTGGAGTGGATTATAAAATGAACAAACAAACATTCATCCATATTTTGGTATCAAAACTTCTTTTTTCAAGTATAAATAAAAATCGTCTTCTATTTTTACAGTATTATCTTAAATTTTGAATAACGCGTGGTTTTTATTTGTATTTGAATTATGAAATTTGTAAAATGTTCAAAGGGTAAAATGGAAAGATCAGAAACAGTATGAAAAATGTAAATAAAATATGTAATTTGAATTAATAAATCAAACACTAAAGATGTGTAAAATAATAGATTAAAATATCATATAAAACATTAATTCCTGTACGATTGTTAGACATAAACAAAGAACTCTGACAAGGTTAAATGGATATTGTTTATTACTTATAAACAAAATAAAATATAATAAACATTTTGATTAAGACGATACCAGTAGTCAAATTTTTTAAACAGATCAAAGGAATTAGTCAAATTAAATATACGTATATCATAATTTTAATAGAGTTAAAGGTTCGTGACATCTGAAACAAAGGATCAAATAAAATTATTGATACATTGTAATACGTATCTTGTAGGTAGTAACGCTTTATTTCATAATTATAACCGACTGACAAAGTATGTTTTGAAGTTTCTAACACGCTATGGTTTTAGAGATTAAGGTCGAACCCTTTATTACACGTTTTGCACAAAGAAATTACTCAATTGTACAAAATGTATAAAGAAAAAGTCATAACGCTTCTACTGGGGTCACTCGCTACTGTGGAGAGCTCGCGAACTTCACATTAATCTTTATATAATGATTGCCTCGTTTATAAGCCATTTGGATACTTTGCCGATTAAATATATCTTAATATAAATACAATTTATCTTAATAAACTCGGAACAATATTGATAATTCACCTTTTCGCCAGGTAGCCATTATGATATTTATTTAGGACAAATTCCAACAATGTATTCATAAACACGGTGACATACCACATTGAATAAAGAAGAACACACAGAATCACATTGGATAACGAGTTCGGCAGATTGTATTCATACGCTGTCGATATCAAATGAAAATTTAATATTTTATTTTCTTTCATGTTAATTGCATAT